AACCTGCTCCTGCTCGAAAGTTATGATAGCTTGTTTCCTAATAGCTATGTTTATGTTTCATTCACATTAGTGAGGATAATATCCAAGAAAAGTCGTATTATACGATGGTAAAATTTTAGTTTAATAATGATCATAGCATAATAACCTATTTAATTTAATATTTAACTACTTCTAAATGAGAATGAACTGCTAATTGTTTTGCTGCCTTGGAAACTCTTGATGAGTATGTTTTATTTGTTGTTTTTAAATGCATGTGGTTCGTTAATCTTTTAGAAGACTTGCAATAACTATTTGTCCGTTTATATGAAATTTAGCCGTGTAGCAATACATGGGTAGATCAGAGAGAAACAATAATTAGAAGGAACATCTGAATCGTTTCAGGAATATAAAAGGTTAATTTAATAAATTACACTAAACCTGAAAAGAAATAAAATGACATTTCGATTATATTTCATTTAAGCAAAAATTCAATATGGCTTGATGAGGTAAAATGGACAAATTTTTATGACGGAAAAAGGAACCGTAAAACATAAAAATAAAATGTCTAAGACATATATATGTAAGATATAACAAAATATGATAGCTGTTTCAAAAGAATAATTGACGACCTCAAAATTAACATTCTAAATTTGTAATCTGCCCCTAAATTCATCTCTTCTCACAGGTTCCAGACTTTTCTATCTTATGTAACGTTTTAATGCAGATGCCTCTCGTCCAATCAAATTAATTCTAAACCAAAACTGTGAACTGAAACTTCAGCCTTCTTGCTATGAAAGTACTATTACCTCTCTCTGTTTTCCGCGTTAGCTGTCCCACTGTTAAGACGCTTTTCATCCATGCTGCTGCCGCTTACTCGCTTAAGATGACGTCGTACTTCAAAATGGGAGTTATTCTATTCAAATATTATTAAGAAATATCTTGTCTGAAAAAGGATGATTCGATATGCATGGAAAAAAAAGATTGTGATTTTTCAAGATATGTTGTGCTAATTGCGTCATCATGCTTTCCACTCTGCCCTTCAACCACAGTTTCATTACAATATATGGCGAAGCCGATTTTCGATTTCCATACATAATATGATGGAGGGAATTTTGTTACAGAATGAGGGGTTGTTATACTCTTCAGTTACTTGGGGTAATATTGTGCCCATGCTATATACCTGATATAATTAGTTTACATTTTAATCTAGTTATAATAGTTTTAACACGTTCATTTTACCATTAGTTTGGGGTCTATTTGCGTATTGCAATTGTTTACATTATGATTCCTTAAAGTGCTTAAATTCTGAAGATGTAACAGCAGCCTATCACTAAATCCGTTTAGGTACCTGCATTTGGAAAATTGTTTTAAGCAGATATAAGTATCTGTAGTCACGTTTAGAACAAAGTCCAGAGATATCTAGTTGCATGATCAATGATTATGTGAATATCCTTTAGTAGAATTATATAATTTAACCCCTACAGTATCAAAATAATAGGCAAAGGTTCACTAACTGATGGTAAATTTGAATTAAACCAAATTTCTTTTGTTTACTTTTATTAACTGACATACTTCACAATGTTTACATAATTTCTAACTCTTGAACAATTCATGGCCAATAATAGTTGTGGAGATAACAAATTTAACATAGATGAGACACTAATATGACCAATTGTATGGGCCGTTTTCAAGTAATTTCGTACGTAGAACAGGGCACAATTTGTACAATCCCTGTTTTTTGATAGTTAAGACATCAGTCATTTTCCTATACTAGTATTACAACATTATCTAATTTGATATTTATTTCTTCTAATGATAAAGAACTTGCAATCTTAAGGGTGACACAGGATTTCTAGAGAGCATGTCAGCTTCACATTAGTAGATCCTTTTTATATGTATATCAAAATCATACATAGATAATTTAAAGACCACTAAATAGACGACCTGTAGGGTGTTTATATTTTTTAAGCCAAACTAAAGCAGCATGATCAGTATGTACAGTAAATGGTTACCATGTAAATAATAAAATTTATCAATGCATCAATAATAGGTAAATTTCCAGCTCAGTAATGGGCAGAATTTTGTCATAAGGTCTTAATTTTCTAGAATGAAAAGCATTGGATGGAAACTCCATCAGGATGTTCTTGTTTAAAAACGCACCAGCAGCTTCTTTGGACCATCAACAAATACCTGCCAGAGATATTTAGGATTAACAAAGTTAAAATAGGTCTAGAAATAATGCATCTTTTAATTTTGAAAAGCGTTTGACATTCATCAGTCCAATTAAGGAGTATCTTTCTTAAGTAAATTAGTTAATGGGGCTCTAATTTTAGCATAATTTTGAATAAATTTATGATAACATTAATACTTCCTAAAATCTTTTAATTCTTTGATATTTTTAGGGGTTGCAATTTCTTAATAACCTCTATATTTGCATTACTGGGCTGGTATTTACCTGCTTGAATTTCATATCCTAAAAATTATTTTTCTTAGCAAAATTACATTAGATTGTTTTAATTTATATTCTCTTCTCACACACATTCAAATATTATTTTAAGATGATTTAAATGTTCACCAAATTTGGAGAGAAACTATAATATCATCAAATAATTTAAAGCAAATTGAATCTGATATTGTTTAAAATTGTCTAAGAGCTCATTGGAAAACAGCTGGGGAATTTTTTCAACCAAAAGGTAATCTAGTAAACTCATACAGTCCAAATTTGTAGTGAATGCCAATTTTTCGTATCCTTTTCATTGAATTTATATCCAGCCTGATGCCAAAAGTCCCAAAAGATTTTTGCATTTGTTAATTGATCTAATACAAGCATCATTCGAGGAATATGTTCAGAAGCAGTTTTAGTAATTTGGTTAAGCTAAGCTTGAAATCAATACACAATCTGCTTCTGGACTGCTCATCTCGCTTATAAGCTAAGTTACAGGAGCAGCATAGGACTATAAGAAGGTTTAATATCCACGCTTTTACATTCACTTGTTTTTTTTTTTTAATTTCACTATTATCTTTAGAGATGCTCTATATGGTCTAAGGCTATGGTAATTCAGTTAATATAACTCGGGAGGTCAACCCTTACCAACCCCATATTTACTTGTTGCAATATATGATTATAATCATCAACATGGGTAATTGGCATCTTATTGTAATATAATAGAAATATTTCATCAAAACAAAATTTGACGAATTTATGAACATTAGGTTGTGAAACAATTCGACTGTGTGTGCGAACTATCAGACGGTTTCCAAAGCATGACATTCTCAACAAGTGTGCAATTGTTTTCAAAGTACAGTGGGACAAATCTGATTCCAAAACATTCGGATGGACCAAATTGTTAAACATCGGTCAAAAGGTCGCCAAAAAATCTTTGTTGTTGTAAAATATGTTGTTTTTAAAATTCTCTCAAGGCTGTCTCGCTCTACCCTGCTTACCCATTTTTTGAAGGGGGGATCTTAGATAAACAAATGAAGGATGAAGCTGTTTCAAAAAATTAAACCTCAACTTAACATCTAAATTTGTAATCTGCCCCTAAATTCATCTCTTCTCACAGCCAGACTTTTCTTTCTATGTAGGTTATGCAGATGCCTCTCGTCCAACAACTAACCAAAACTGTGAAACTGAAACGTCAACCGCTTGCTAAGTACTATTACCTCTTTTTCCGCGTTAGTCCCACGTGAACGCTTTCATCCATCTGCTTGCCGCTTGCCCTACGCGGAAATGACGTCGTACTCAAATGGGAGTTCTATCAAAATATAAGAATATCTGGCAAAAGGGCTCGATTGCCATGAAAAAATAAGATTGTGGGTCAAGATAAGTTGTGGCTAAATTGCGTCATCATGCTTTCCAGCTGGCCACCTTCAACCCACAGTTAATTTGGGCGAAGCGATTTCGCCCCTAACGTTTCGTGGGAATTATTCAACTCGTATCCCCATCGTGGACATGGAAATAAAAAGGTTTCGAATCCAAGCAAGCCATACGGTCGACGCGGTAATCACCAGTACGGAAGCTGTTGGGCCCACTGTTTCATCGCCGTTTGAAATCATTACATATATAGTGTAATCAGGGTTAGGAGGAATTACGTATCAAAGAAGGTTAAAGAAAAGCCACCAAGTTATCCAGAGCAAAGGTCCCTTCAGACGCGCGCAAATGAATAGAATCATAATGGAAATACTTTACAGAACTGGGAGATAAAGAAAAAAAATGTAAAAAATATATAAATTAAAACTTCAGAAGAAAAGAACTGCAGAGCGTTTACATTTGAAACTAAAATTCCGCTCATTTCTACTACTTTAATTGGCCTACATTAAATTCACCAATCACGATTTTGTTTACAGTATAAAGTATTTCTTCCGCCTTCTTGGCATGCCTTCGTGTGTGTGGTCTGCATGCTGGGTGCGTATTCCAGAGGTCCGCGGTTCGATTCCCGGCGAAGGCGGTTGCTCATTTTTTATCTTTCTTGCTTCCAAATTACCTAATGTCTCTACAGTGCCGCTCGAACTAAAAGGGTGTTGGATGATGATTCTCGCCACCCGGGATTTGGCGATCGGGTCCCCTAAAACCCCAGTCGCCCTTTAAAAGGAGGAATAAATAAGGTATTTCTCCCGCCTTCTTGGCATGCCTTCGTGGCGTGGTGATCTGCACACTGGGTGCGTATTCCAGAGGTCCACGGTTCGATTCCCGGAGAAGGCGGTAGCTGATCTTTCATGTTTCCTGCTTCCTTATTACCTAATGTCTCTACAAGAGTATAGATGAATACAAAGAGATCCGTAATTAGCCTCATATAAAAGAAAGCTTCCTAAAAATAAGCGCATAACTGTCATGGAATGAATACATTAGCTTGCTAATCGGACATAACAGTCCCTAATGCTTGAGGAACTTTCAGCATAAAAGTACATATGTAAGATTGAATAATGATGAACTTTTCTTAATTCATTAAAAAATGCAGATGCATATTGAAAAACTGAATAAAGTCTTATATTGATTGAATTTTTTCGAAATTTCGTCTTACCTGTGTTTCAGCGATAATTGCACTATTTTCAGTACAACCTCCTTCAGAAACAGGTCTCCAAGTCTGATAGACGATAGGTTTCATATAGTCGTAATCATGATCCATACAAGCTTCCGATGGATAAGGCACAGCTGGAGAATCAGCATCCATCAACGCAGACATCACCACAGGCGGCATAACAACAATATCGTTCCAAGGGACAAGTACAGTTCGTTTTATTGGATGGAATGGGTTTCTCTGGAACTGAAGAGTTACTGCGCTACCTCCATTTACCAGGATGTCGAAACTGTCAAGGAAAGAAAAGCATAAAAAAGATAAGCATATTTTGATTCTATGATTTTTACAAAAATTTAGATTGTTTAAAGTTTGCATAATTCTTCCTCAGCAATATTATCAATATAAAGTTTTACGCACTTTGCGTAACATACAAATGGCGTTATCTCCGCATCGGCAAACACTGACAGACAAATACATCATAAAATAAAAAGAAACTTTGAGAGTTCACTTTCAAGAGTTCTATGTGGTACGCGGAACTGTGTCAGTTACATAGCACAAAGTCGATTTTAAAATAATTGCCACCATTTGCCTTAACACATCTTTTTCACACATCTGTACTGTTTCCATAGTAACGAAGTAATAATTTCATCATAAAGAGAACTATTCTTTTCACGATTTTCAAAAGGCAGCAGAATATAATGCAACCGGATTTTGTGGTACCTGTTTATACACGAAGTCCCCTTCACAAGTAAAGCAATATTTTTAGCATACATAATGAATATGTGTGGAACACTGTAAACACACGTGCAATGTCGCGGCATGATAGTCAGCAGCAGCTCTTTGTGAATGTTTGGGATGATGTTCCACAAGTCATACATTGATGGATACATGCAGTTCTAGAACAATACAGCTCCAGTCTACTTTTGCTATAAAATATGGAATCGGAAAACTACATTTCCGCACTATGGATTGTGTACTATGATCTTAACGCTTGACTTGATCTGTTTTGATTTGTTTTTTTGATTTCTTGATTTTTTTTTTTTTTTTTTTTTTTTTTTTTTTGTGGGAATATCTAAAGAGCAGTGTCTAATAAAATGGCATTGATGCAGAATTGCCAGAATTAAGAGTCGCTACTGCAGCTGTGCACGAACTGTCACGTATGATTAACACTGCACGTTAAACCCTGCATACTATGTTAGATTACGGGTGCTTTATTAACCTTTTAAAGTTTCTTTTATCTTTCATGAAACATCTCCAGTCTGCATACAGTGAAACAATACAGCGACTGTTCGCTGAATCTGTCCACCGTTATGCTTAACTTTTCCAACTAAGTTCTTAAAATGAAGTTCCTCATTTTTTCTTCTCCATACAGTTATTCAATCATCTGAACCGAAAATGTTAAATTTGCTTTCGTCAGCAAATAGGACATTATTCCAGTACGTTTCGGATCAAGGATCAAGGATCAAGGAAGTTCGTGTTACGGAGTTCTTAGGCATAAACGTCTTTACCTACACATCATCTGAAGAATAAAATGTCATCATCAAAAGAGGGAATTTTCTAATACGGTAAAAATTTTGTTAAGCCGAAAAAAGCTTTTAAGAATAAGTGCCTTCACACTGAAAACCAAGGTACCTATCTGTGTTTCAGAAATCCGATAAATGATGGGAAATAAATACAGTTTTACGTTCCAATTTTAAGACTTTTTTTTTTTTTTTTTTTTTTGTTTTTCATATAAATTAGGATAGTTAGTTTTTCAGTGATGGTGTGCTTTATACTACAATGTAATCTCATTTTTCGCGGGGCCTTGTTCAGTTGACTTTTTTATTCAATTGATAAAATAAGTAAAAAATAATAATTGTTGATCTAATTTAATTTTTCTCATACATTTTTAAATTTATATTATACATTTTGAATTATTAGCCCAAAGGGGTGTTAGACCAAAGGGCTATTAGTCTCAAAACGGCATTTTGCGTTGTTTTACTTTATGCGTTGATGCACTTTTCAAGCTGTTGCCACCAAATATTATCGCCCTGTATTATATTTAAAGAAACAAAATATTGAAGAATCTGCATGAAGGTTTCTCACATTGTGAAAAAACAAAAGTACCTAGAGCATTTAATTTTGAATAACATACTCCTCCAACCGAACATGGGCACAAATTTTGCAAAACTTTAATGAATTTTGATTAATAAATTCAACGATTTCAAAGCGAGCAAATGCAAAACTGTACGAACGAAAAAAAAAATTATCTCCGCGCGAGACTGTGTAGGGTTTTCTTAATTTGCATAACAAATTTATTTTAAGTTTCCCGTTCTCAACTTCTCAAACTTCCCCTCACATTCTCTCGCCAGGATGTAAATTTAAAGTTAAGTGAAGTGCTATTTAAACGTGTGATTATCTCAGTTTATTCAGAGTGTGTTTCGCTAGCCTAGCGCTCGTTTCGTTGTTATTTCGCGGTCACTCGAGTAAGCCCTTTGGCCTTATCAGTTTAGAATCACGCCGGTTAGATTTCTGTGAGTCCATCTCTTAGGAGTAATTTTTGAAGTGCGTTTTTGTAATCGTTTTATTTTTCATATTTGATTTTGTATTCTCGTCTACGTTTAAGTTATCGCCGCAAGTGAACGGTGTTTTTGTAACACACGAATTCTGTGCTGTCTGTTATTTTAGTTTGAGTTAATAAAGGGTTATTTTGCGTCCTTTTTCTGTGCTTGTATTTATTTCACGCCTGTGCAAGAATTCGCCAGGTACATTGTAGGCTGTAAGTTAGTCTATGTGGAAAAGTAGAGACAGATCTTACAACTGCGTATCGGAAATTTTAGAGGAATACTGTTTTGCCGTTTTTAAATATCTCGTGATATTTCTGTTGAATTGAAGTTTATGCATAAAGGGCGAAGAGCATGACATTTGATAAATAAAAGTAACACACAAAACGTTAAAAAAACGCCCTTTTCGGCGCAATATAAAATCTGAAAGCTTTCAGATTTTCTTTTTTTTAACATTATATTATTTTTATATCGCATATTGTTTAATACAGATTTTACATTTTATTGAAAAAATACTGCTAAAGACACAAGCATAACCTTAAAGATAGATATTCGTTTCTCCACATAAAAGAATCATTAAAGCCACAAAATATTTATTAAGTTATTTAAACTGCATCGCCTGCTCGAATTCTATAACAGCTATTACTAGTGGTAATTAGTTAATACATAATGTTTCTTCGCATAAATCGTAGTAAAACTATGTATAACCTTAAAGATGAATACTATTTAATCATAATATAACTACAAATACGATAACAAATGAGTGTATATATTTATGCAAATTTATAACTAGATCTACACACAAACAGTTTGATTGAAAAAGGTAGACATATGCTTTCTTTCTTAAGTAATAGCCTGAGACACATATTTCCAATTACGAAGTTTCTCAAAAGAAGACAGAAAATGCAAGAATTCAATTCTTGCGATAAAAGTTTTCTAAATATAAAAATTTCTAAATTTATATGATTTCTGTAGAGCGAAAGGTCAAGTTAATTAAATGTTACATGCTCCTTTATTTCCTATTCCTTCTTTTTTTCCTTCTTTCATCGTTTGAAAATCCAGAAGAGGAAATTAAACAAAGAATTGAATTTTCGAAGAAAGCGGTTACGAACATAACAAATGTAAAGTAGTCATGGATAAACAACAAATAACTATCATGAAATTATTTCGTAAAAAAGAACCTTCATTCCAATAAGATTATTTTAATAAATTAATATCACATCATCTAATAGATATCTTTAAATGTACCCCCATGTAACTTAATCTCACCCATCTTTTTTGTTGCCTCTCCTACTCCTCAGAGCTTAAATCAACCATAAGTAATTATAGAAGGTGGATGTGAAGCTGATTCAACGAAATCGTAAAATGAATATGATTTTGTGTTTGTTTTGAAAGGTGATGGATCAGTTCTTAGGCTGGCATAAAGTTCACCATTAGAAGGGAAAGCTTCGGCGTAACCTTTGCAAGTAGTTTGCGTAGTTTTATCCTTGCCAGTAAGAAAAAAATCACGTTGGGAACGAATCCATTCTAAAATTTAGGGGACTTCATTCTATACAAAACTGAGGAAGTGGAAAATTTACGTGAATAATTTTAGTTTTTAGAACCTGGCGCTAAAATGATAAGGAAAAGATACGCGAGGAAATGCTGTAAAGAACTTATCTAAAAGATAATCTTAAGTTTAAGAAAACTTTATTTTCCCTTCTGATTTCAGTTTCTTGCCAGAGTGTAAATTTAATGATGTGTATGCAAATCTAAGTGAGTTGGAAACAGTACTTAAGCAGCGTTTTTAAGAGTTCGCAGTAGAAGAGTTAGTTCTCAGTTTATGTCGCCTGGTTGAATTAGCAACCTTGAAGTTCCATAACTGGTGCTGGCTACTTTCATTAGATAATCGATTTAGCGGTTTCGATAAAGAAGAAGTCACTCGTGTAGCCAATCTTACTTTATTGTGAATATACATCTTGTTTCTGTTTCAGTTACTCAGCCACAAATTGTTCTTCTACGGTTATCTGTTCTTTCGAGACCTAGCGAGAATTCTCTAACTGGTCTTCCAGTATGGTCTTCACAGTTGATGATCCCGAAACACACAAGCAGACTCTACAATGCAAGCAAAAGTTCCCATTTTTTAGAAGTAAACTTCACGGAGGCAAAATTCTATTAAATTATTGAATTAAATAACCCTTAATCACATATCACTAAGCAAATCTGTATAATTTTGCTTCATATTTAGAAAGAAAGTGGAAAACAAACAGCATTCATCATTACAGCTGGTCGTATGAGTTTTATATTTTGCATATATATCTGTGGAACTTTTATTCATTTTCGATAACTATGCCACAGAAAAAATAATCACTCTCTAGGGTTTTGCTTTTATTCATCTTGTAAAATGCATCTTTCACAGGTAAGCATTATTAGCGTGCATTGCATTAATCTCATGGACTGGGCAGTCTATCAATTTGACCTCAGAGAAAGCTTGACATTATCTGCTTCTAGAGGCTCGGAAAAGTATATCACCTCTGCTTCATAATCTAAGAAGGAATCTAACAAGTCTATTCTCTCTTGATTGTAAGCATATATATAATTGTTGCGTTGGAAGATTTTGATAAGGAATAATCATATACTCAAATTGATAAAATACAAGTTTTTTTTTTACCTTATTTCCGAGAACACTTTGATATCAAGTAAAAGGGTAAGTTATTGATCGAGCTTCAATTAACATAGCTCAGTTTACGATTGCATAACTGTAAGATCAAGGACAGAAAGATTAATCCCAGATAAACACATATTCCAGCTACACAAATATTCTTTTGTTCATACAAGTCCCTAAGTACCACATATCAAAGTCATAATCTATAGACAAATAAAAACTTTGTCCTAATCTCCTGAACAAATATTTACATTCAAAAATTCAGATTTACATAATCAGTTCCACAAACTAAGAGGAGTTGAAGGATAATTAGGTGAGCAATCTTCGGAAACCGGAATCTAAAAACAAGCTTATGCGATGCTGAAGGATAACACGTGG